CTCGAACTCACGGACCGCGAGATCATGACCTGAGCCGAAGTCGGATGCTTAACCGACTGAGCCACCCAGGCACCCCTCTAACCACATTTCTTAACCCGGCCCTGAGATATTCTCATTTCCCTCAACTGAAAAGTCTGCAGATCCTCAGAAAATGCTTCTTTAGAATCCTCCAGGGCTTCTCCCTCCCTGTGCAAAGTTTAGGTCATGGGCCTTGGAAATGAGGGTGGGGCAGAGGAAGGGTGGGTTTCCCAACCGGACACGGCCCACATCTCCCCTTCTACTGACTCAGATACTGGAGCTCACGAAAAGAAAAAAATAAATACACCAGAGGAACTTGAAGAGAGAGGAAGAGACCAGTCATCAGGAGAGATTCAGGAAGGGAGTGCTTATGAATGAAAAAGGAGTAGGGGCCACAGGAAAAGAATCCCTTTGGGAAGCAGTCAGACGTGGACTGGCCGGCAGCACGCTGAAGCTTGCTCCTCTGCTCCCATCAGTAACCAACACATTTTACCCACGAATGGCTCAAGGCCTCAGGGCTGATCCTGGGGTCTGCAGCTGGGGCTGCAGGGGGAAAGCACAGCGGGGGCGGCACCGGGAATTTTGGGGTGAAGCAGCCCCAACTCCATTCCTGACTCTGTCACCTCCTAAGTGGGTGGGCCCCCAACTTCTCATCTGTGGAACAGGTACAACACTATCTCCCTCTCAGGGTTGCCGGGATCGAATGGGACACACAGGACCCTGCCTGGCGTGACATGGGAACTCAAGGCACTCTTCAGAAACCTGTGTCAACCCTTTACGTCGGTGAATGCCATTTACTCGCTGACGATGAGGGATTTTGCCAAAACAAGTAGATTACCAAAGCAAAAGGTTGCACAATAACCTTCCACCTTGTGGCTAATTCTGATTTGAGAAGCTGTTACAACAGGCTTGGAGGCTGACCGAAGGACCTGGTAAGTCCCTCCATGCCCCAGCAACCCTGCCGCTAAATGGATTAGCTTCTGCCGGTTCATAGCCCAGTTCTCCTGCTCTCGGAAACCTGAGCCTGGGAACAGTCCGTGGGGCAAGAGGCTGAGTTCACTGCCATTCCACGGGAGGAAGCCGCACTTCTGACCACAACACTCCCATGGCCCCTGTCCTAGACCAAACAGCAAGGAGACTTGCCCAGAATCAGAATTTCTGCAGGGGCTTCAGCAAAGTCCCAGGCACCCTGAACGAGTAATTAGCAAAGACATAAGCAGAGTTGGACAAAACCAGAAAGGCTGAATCACCTTGATCTCTCCTCGTGGTCAGCAGCCCTGAGGTCCTGACCGATCTGTCTTTACTTCCCCTTCTGTGTGAAGACCTCTGGGCTGGGAGAATCCACTTCTAACCATCAGTGTGACACTGCAGAAAAGTGTCTGATTTGCAATCAGAGCAAAACCAAACTTGAACCTTTTCTCTGCTCCAGGCCAGCTGGGGGACCCTGAACCAGTCACTCTGCTTCTCTGAAATTTCTGCTTTCTCTTACAGAGTAAGGGGATTTGTTCATTAAAAAAAAAAAACCTCCAACACATATCGTGTACATCTGTTCAAAATTGTGAAAGA